ATTTATTCTTCCTTAGAACTCTCTATTTTGAAATCAAAGTCGTCGGTCGGTGAACAAACGACGTGGGAACGAGAAGCTTCGCACAACGGTATATGCCGAAATGGGCTTCCAAATTGGGACGCGATGCTGACGGTCACGCGACACTTTTTTGTAAGACTCTTGACTTTTCGCATCCGGGCCCTGAATCCCACGGCCCAATTAGGGATGACCCTGACTGACCACTTATGTAATTCTAGCATACTGTGGCCCTTGTCATGAACAGAGTGAGAAGTTAGGAGGGGGGTTTGGGGGGGCTCTGCCACCCCAATTAGGTTTAGGATAAGTTTGGGCTGTTAGGCTTAGGTGTTAAGTTGGGTTTTAGTTAGGATTGGGGGAGGGGAATATTTGTTTTCTTAGGAAAAGTACTTTATTTTGACTTAGTGAAATGTGAGAGGAACTACATGTGGCCAATTGGAGCTAACTAAAAATGGGCCGTGGGACTCAGGGCCCGGATGCGAAAAGTACGCGACTTTTTTTGTAACCACCATCGGAGCCACAAAGACAGGTTTAAAAGCGCCCGGATGCAGCTCGTCTTTCTTCCTTCACTCCCCCTTTCTGAACTGTTTCGACCAATGTCTATGTCACAGCTTCCTGAGGCGAATATCGCTGTTCTTGAGCAGCATTCACAAGGCCTCAACGCTCTTACAGACTTGAGGTAGCATTCCAGTTTTATTGGGTCAGGTCATTGCAAACTGATAAATCCAACAGGAAGGCGCTCCCTGAGGAGAATAATATTATCTATCAGCGAAAATGGGTTTACGGCTATTGGTTTAAAGTCAAATACATGCGACGAATCGCAGAGAGACACAAACTCGACTGGCAGAAACACGGTTCTAAGCTGGTCGACAAATTCGTGACCTCACTCGCATATTCGACCGGCATCTTCTTTGATGCACATGCTGCAATATACCAGGGTCAACCTGCATTGATTCTTGCCTTTGCTGAGGATGATGACAGACGGAGGTTGGACCATATTGAGTTTTCCGAGTCAGAAATAGACAAGATACGAAGGGGAATTGGTCTCCCGGCTGGGACGAAGCCGAGATGGTATGAACTTAGCGGAAAGGGAACTGATCCAGATGAAGAAGTCGAAAGCGAAGATGAGACGTACCCTGATGAGACTGGCAGGACTGTCGAAGTAGCCTCTCGTCCCCGCAATATTCCCAATCATGTACAGGAGTTAATGTCGAGGCGGATGGAGATCTACTAGGAACTCATGCACAGTAGTGGCTTTCAAAGAGTGTAAACACATCTCTGAATATGTATTGTTCATTGCAATGTCAATTTTCATTTCTGCTTCGTTCCTACTAGCAAGTAGTTCTCTTTCACTGGCAGTACTTGCAAAATTCAGAATACAGACGAACGTCTGCTTTTCTCACCCCTCTGTTAATAAAGTATTTTCGGCGACTCTCTCTTTTGGGCAAGCCACAGCAACAACTTGCCCGACATAGTTGTCGAACTCGTATTTGCATTATTTTACTGTCCAGCCACTACATTAAGCCGCATTCTCTCAGTTTAGCTGTAGTGTGGCAATCATTATGATTCGTCTGGTTTGGTCCACGTGAGACACTTGAGACAAGGCCGAGTGGCTCCTATCACAGCAGACATATTAGAGAATATGGTGTTAAGGCATATTGGTATCATATTCTAAATCATATTCTGATATGTCTTCTGTGTATCCTCCTTTGTGAACAGACACCTGAGGATAAATTGACTAAATGTATATAGAGGCATCACCCATTTCATTGAAATATTGTAAAAGTACATATAAGATTTGCAAATTTGAGTATATATAAAAGTAAACTAAAAGGCTAAATGTACAATCTCTCTTAAGTAAACTTTAAACTGTAGCAGCTTGTAAATATGTACCTGAGTGGCTTCTGGCAGTCTAGTGTATTTCAGGTTGTCCTTTCTAATAGGATACAAATGCTTAGAAACATATGTTTCTAAAACAATAGTAGAATCAAAATACAATTTAATAGTAATTTTGTACTTATATTCTATCCTCTTAGACTCAACTATACACTTCTGTTCCTCTTTCTCCTTGTACCTTTTATCCCTCCTAGTACCATTCCTACTACAAGCATACTTGATACACTCTCAAAACCTTGGATTTTGAGCTACTAACTTATTATACTGACTTTCTTCCTTTACTTTTAGTCAAGTATTAAATTCCTCCTTAGTCTCTTATCTTTTATTGTAATCGAAATACTCAAGTTTCTATACAAATGTACCTTGTAAAAGAAAGGATGTAGTAAGAGATTCTGGCTCTGAGAGAGAAGAAATAGAGAAAGAGAAAAATGTATTATTTAAGTACTTATATTAAGCATCTTTAATACCTTAGATATGTCTGAGTCTATAAAGATGTTGCACACTCAGAATACATGAAAGACACTGAATTATTTTGTTTGTTTATTTTAGTGACTAAGAACTTGTATACAACTACACAAAGCTTTACAGACTGTTTAAGGAAAGGTATGATTGTCAATCATTATTCTATCAATCTAGTCAAAATGCTATCTATTACATAGTCAGGGTCTATCTATTACATGATCACTGTCATCCCTAATTGTGCTGTGGGACACTCTTTTGTTTCAGCTACTGTGTCACTGATCACAGCCACTGGCACGAGGACTTTATAAGCGCCCGACGCGGCTTGTCTCTCCTCTTTAATTCCCCTCTCGATCCGTATCGACAAATGCCTACATCACAGCACATCGAAGAAGACAGCACGTGTCTTGAACAGCGTTCGCGAGGCTTCAACGCTCTTGCCGACTTGAGGTAGCGTTCTGGCTTTCTTGGGTCGAGACATGGCAAACCCTGAAGAGAATAATATTGTCCATCAGCGAAAATGGGTTTACGGCTATTGGTTTAAAGTCAAATACATGCGACGAATCGCAGAGAGACACAAACTCGACTGGCAGAAACACGGTTCTAAGCTGGTCAACAAATTCGTGACCTCACTCGTATATTCGACTGGCATCTTCTTTAGTGCACATGCTGCAATATACCAGGGTCAACCTGCATTGATTCTTGCCTTTGCTGAGGACGATAACAGACGAAGTTTGGACTACATCGAGTTTTCCAAGTCGGAGATAGACAAGATACGAAGGGGAATTGGTCTCCCGGCTGGGACGAAGCCGAGATGGTATGAACTTAGCGGAAGGGAGACTGATCCAGATGAAGAAGTCGAAAGCGAAGATGAGAGCTTTCCTGATGAGACTGACAAGACTGTCAAAGAAGCTTCTCGTTCCCGCAATATTCCCGATCATGTACGGGAGTAATGTCGAAGCAGATGGAGATCTACTAGGAACTCATGCATGGTATTGTATGGCACCTCTTTTCATCTTTTATTTTAATTACAAAGTACAGGTTCTAAGTACAATCAGTTATTCAAAATTACAGAGAGAAAGTCCGATCAAATTTGCTTGATGGCTATCAAGTCCGACCATTTCAGCTGTCACAACTTATAGATCCGTGTCAATTTGTGACTCTGTGCTTCATAACTACAGATCTGAAGTACAATTTCTTGACCTCGTCCTTAATACAGTCCCCATGTATGCTTATACACACAGAATAGTACTGCTGAGGAGGCTAAACAAAGTCAACATGGACCCTGGATAGTCTATGGATTTGATTTCTATCCACTTACTGAGAGAAATCTTACATAGGCATATGCATTCATATTTGTAATAGAATTTGCAATTAGTATGACATGTTGCTGATAATAGAATTTGCAATTAACATGTTGATATGAATGCACAACAAGAAGAAAACCTTTGTAACAAATTCAGATTGCAGTACTGGAGGCTTTCCAGTGATATCTTGTCTGCTATTCAGCAACATGATAATGTCAATTTACTGTCTTGTCTAAGCAATGAGCTGGACACATTTATTGGTCTTTTTACACAGGTGAAGTTTTTGCTCATATGTATAACACCCAGCACACTAATTATGAACTGTAGCATTTGTCTATCTTCTCAGAGGATGAGTGTAGCACACTCTGTCAGAATTTGTTTTGGATGCAGACTGATATTCAGCTACAGTACAAGGAGTCAGCAGAACATTCTCATCAAGGATGTCCACCACTCGTTTGCCATGTGTACACTGGATGAAGAGGGTGGCCATCTGTCCAGATCAACTAGGAGTTTCTCAGGGATGCTTATGAGCTTGTTCCAACACAAAGGATTGTAGATTTCTTGTATGTTGGGAGGACTGTTGTCAGAAGGCACTTGTTAGAGTCAGGTGTGGCCAAACCTAGAGAAAATCCCTTCACATCAGAGCCAGGCAGAATCATATTGTATACTTGGCATGTGTCACCTATTAGCAACAATGAGCTTGATGAGCTTATTTGTAATATTTGTGAGCAACACCCTAATCAGAGGGTCAGTATACTGTGAGGGACATTACAGTCAATAGGGTTTATTGTTGGGGAGCATCAGATTTGGCAATCTCTGAGGAGACTTGTTCCAGGACAAATATTTGCTTGTACTACTGTAGAATGTTGAACATATAGTGTGCCTGGTCCAAATGCTTTGTGGCACTATGATGGGCAACATGGTAAGAATTTTATTCCTGTTTAGATTTAATTAACAATTAACAATCAGGTCTTAGGTCTTATTTGATAGGGCATTATTATTCATGGGTTCATAGATAGGTACTCTTAGCTTATTACTAGTCTTCAAGCATCAGATAATAATAGAGGAGAAACAGTCTTGAACTTGTTTTTCAATACTGCCCAAGTGTTTAAAGTACTAGTAAGACTGTAGGGCAACCATAGAGTTGAGAATCTTTTAGTTGCTACATGGATGGAGCAGTTTAGAGGTCCAGGAAGTGGAGCATACATTTGGGGCAGGTGTGTACTTAGTTTTTGTACCAGTTCTTAATAAAAGAAGGATGAGACTGATTTTTTTAATAGATCTGTCTATAACATAAGGATTGAGTGTTTGTAGGTTGATGTAACAACACAAGTAGGCTCAAAATGGGCAGCTTGTTTCAGACAGTTAGAACAACACTCTAGACTGGATATTAACAAACCAAATCATATTTGGTTACTACATCAATTATTCCTACCATCTATCAACAAAGACTTAGCTAGCTTTACTCATGTATGGAACCATTACACAATGCAAATTCAAGACTCCTGTAATTGCTCACCATAGAATATGTTCTTTTTCAACATACTAGCTCTAGGAATGTAAGGTGATGATCTACCAGAAGAAAGGGCTGAATATGGAGAGAATGACAGAGGATATGGTATGTCTCATAGTTGTCTAATATTTTGTGTATATAGACTAATACAAGTGGTAGACACTATACTTTCTGAGAGAGGTGAACTAGCAACTGGTGAAAATATACATAGAAGGAATAGAGTTATCCTTAATCCTCCTGAAATGCCTATTGAGTATAAACTGGTGACTAAGTTAAATGAGCATCTTTCATCTTTACAGATAAATACAGAAGAACAAAGTATTGATACTATTTGGTTTGAAGCTCTTACATACCTTAGAAGTAGAGTACATGGATTTTAAAACTATTAGAACTAGCTATATGATAGGTCACATTTATACTTACTATAAATACATTTTTACAATCTAAATTGTAAGAAATGGCCTAATTAATTATACTCTCTCATATCTTTCAAGTAGTGAGTGAGTAAAGCAATTCAGCCAACAGGACAACTAGTTGTAAGGCTGGAGCCTTACTCAGGAAGACAGAACAGGCAAAGACCTGGGATTAGAGAGGTTGACCTAAGTATAAAAGTAAAGTACAAAGATAAGGTCTAAGTATCTACAAATAGCCCTCTCTATATGTATCTAAAGTCATGTGTGTAACCTGAGAGGTTACATTAGTATTACTATAAGTATCAAGCCAAGTTATTTCTATAATTAAATAAGGAAAATTTAGTACAAACTATTGAATGACTTTGTTCTTGTATGTATACATGAAAGTA